CGGCCCGTGCGGGCTAGCCCGAGCGGGCCTGCAAATCTCTAGCTCGGCTTACCCTTTAGACGGGGTGGGGCGGCCTGCGGGCCTCAGCCGTTTTTGACATGTCTAGGTGATCACCACATTTTTTTTCTATTTTTTTCTACTAATGCATATCTCGTGCTATGTGCACAGAAGAGACTCATATTTTAAACATTTTTTAGGCTTTATTTTAAATACAATAGGTTAAATTGCACCAAATTCCCATGTATTATACTAAATATGCGCATTATCCCCTTCTAATTTAAAAAATGCGTCAAACCCCCTTGTATTGTAGTTTGGTCAGCATACGCTCCCCAACTTATGTTTTGGTGTTAACACCGTTAAATTTTTGGTGAACATCTCGTTATGCATTGTCACTTGAGAAGTCACACCCATCTAAATCAAAAATCATTTCTAACTTTTGAAATTCTCTCTCTCTCTCTCTCTCTCTCTCTCTCTCTCTCTCTCTCTCTCTCTCTCTCTCTCTCCCCGATTCTCCAAAAAAAATCCCAATTTCAACACCCTGATTCTCCAGAAAAATTGCCGATTTTCAACTATTAATTTGTAGAAGGATCGATGGCGCATAACGAAGTTCTTCTTTATATTCGATGTTGGAGTCGATTGGAGGAGTAATTTTCGATATTCCAAAGCTAGAATTCTATTTGCAGCGACATTCTTCTCGATTTTTTGATGGCGCATAAGATACTTTTCGAATCTTCGACGATTAAAGGTTATTACCTGGAAATCCAATAGTTGCATTTGTAAAATTAGGGTTCTTATGTTATGTGGTTTCGAAAATAGGATTTTTGGTGAAGTGTGTGCTTGTGATTTGAAAATTAGGGAAACTCAATCGCTTAATTTAGAAATTAGAAAAATTCGATATCTTCTAATTTGATAACCTTTCGTGCTTCTGATTTGGAAATTAGGGTTTTTTAATTTTGAAATTAAGGTTTCTGATTTGGAAATTAGGGCTTTCTGATTAGAGAATCAGGGCTTTCTGATTTTGAAATTAGGGTTTCTGATTTGAAATTATGGCTTTCTGGTTTTGAAATTAAGACTTTCTAATTTGGGAATTAGGGCTTTCTGATTTGGGAATTAGGGCTTTATAATTTTGAAATTAGGACTTTCTGATTTGGGAATTATGGTGAGTTTGAAAGTGTTGATGTTTTTTGTTGGTTGAATTGTTTCATTTTATCCTATATATATCAAGTATTGAAGCTGTTTGCATGGTTCTGTGATTTAGAAATTAGGGTTGTTTACTTTATCTTATTTGTATGTTGAATTTGTGGTTATTGTTAAATGGTTTAATCTGAAAATTATTGATGTTGTATGTAAGAAGAATTTGGGTCCTTCTGAGATATTGATACATAGGAAATGTTGATGCATAAAGTATTCTTTTTATGTTGTGGTCCCTGATTTCATATGGCTAATCATATCATACTTGTTGAATTGCAGAATATGGCTATTGTATTTGATGGAGTTGCTGGAGTGATAAAATAAGAGCCTTTTGTTCACTACTTTGGCGGTCAAAGTGTTGCAGTTGACTTCTATGACATGGACATGTTGTCTATGTATGAGATAATGGACGTGTACAATAAGGCATGTGGCAAATCATCCATTGTGGATATTTTTTCACACAAGCCTGGAAAAACTCTACAAACAGGAAAGATGATTAAGATTGCAGTGACAGTGATAGTTTGAAGCTGGTGAAGAAGTATACATGGGAATATGTCATCCCACTTTACTTTGAAGATTTGCATGGCCTTATACAACAATTGGACATTAATGGGAATCTGATGGATGCACAAATAGAGATCGCACTTATTGAATATCCACAAACTGAAGAGGATGTTCTAATTGACAATTATTGTCCAGAAGATGAAGAAGAATCATACCATGATGCATGTTCACAAGATGTTGTTAGTGAGGTGGGTCCTACAGAAGATGCTAATGATGTTGGTTCACATGAGGTGGATCCTACAGAAGATGTTAATGATGCTGGTTCACATCATGGTGTTGGTGAGCGAGATGAGCCACTTAATGAAGTTGAAGCACAATTGGCCAGGAAGATGAACAACTTCATGAGAGGACAGAACAACAAACTGAGGGGACAAACCAAGAAGCTGAGGGGGCAGAACAAGAAGCTGAGGGGACAGAACATCATTTTGGAGATTCAGAGTATGAACCTGAAGAAGGTAGTAGTGAGTCCTCTGAATTATCTGAATGGGAATTGGAGGATCTAGAAGGCCCCTGATGTTGATGACATTTTCCAATAGAGGGGTCAAGATCATGCTAAGAAGATACACAAGAGGGCAAGAGAATTGATGAAACTAAGAAGAAAGTTGAGAAAAAAAAGCAAGAGGAGAAGCTGCAGGTTTGAAAAAGGCTAGAGAAGAAGATTGGTACAGTGAGGCTGAGGATGATGACAACTACTTTGAAGAGCCTGATGAATGGAATGATAGTACTGATATGTCAAGGTTTGAGCTGAAAGTTGGTCAGAAATTTCCATGCAGAGCAAAGTTGGTCAGACCAATCTCTAATCAAGGATGTGATTAGAGATTGGTATGTTAGAAAAGGATATGATTTGAAGTTTCTCAAGAATGAAGCCAAGCTCATCACAACACAATGCAAAAGTGGGTGCGACTTGTCTTTGAGGGCCTCAATTACTGGAGGTTTGTCTACATTTTAGACCAAGACTTTGAAAGGAAAATACACATGCTCTTACAGGACAAAGAACACACAGGCTGACTACAAATATCTTGGGAAAAGAATGTTAGATACTCTTAGGGACAATCCTGGTGAGACTTTGGCAGTCTGAAAAATAAAATCAAGAGACATTGTGTGTAATATCCCGATATTTAATCGGTATAAATTACGTTTAATTTCGATATAATAATGTTATCGATTATTATATCTGGAGTTAATTAAGTTCAGTCGGGATTACCGAAATCTATTTTCGACGTACCGTTTACGTCCGAAATAATTTTGGTAATTAAGCATTATATTTAATTAAGTAATTAACCACCCTTTTAGTGATTAATATGCAATTAATCACAAATCTAGGGCATTAGTCGTGACCTAAGTTTGCAACTAATTTCATAACTTAGGAATATTTTCTAAATCTCCCAACTAAAGCCGTAGGTTCCTTCTCGTGAGGAAATCTAATTTCCTTCACATATGAGC